TGAACTTTAAACATGCCTTCTTCTTGGTCTCTACCATAAAGGCCGACTAGGGCCCCACCACATCCATCGGTTCGGCTGCTCCTGGGACCTGACATTTGAGATTTTGGTGGAAACGACAGGGGACAAGAACAGAACTTATCTTCACTAACATTTTATTAGCTTCTCACTTTTTCTCTTTTTTTTCCTTTTTTTTTTCCTGAGAACATGAATAACATATATAATTGAAATTGGTGAGGCGACTTTGAAATAGTCCAAGTGAAATTTCGTTGCTTTGTTGTATTGCAAGCGTAAGCCTCAAAAATCAGTTTTGGTTACGTTTAAGTGATCTTAATCTTGGTTTCATGTAGAACATAAATCTGATAAAAAAAAATAATCTGTTTGTTTGGATAATGTATTATTTGAAATAAAGTACTTTTGTGATATGATTATGCGATAAAAAGATGATTGAAAATATAAAAAAGGTTGCATCTTTAAGTAGCACTAGGTGATTGTAATTTTTTTTTTTTTTTTTGGCATCATTGTGGGTATCTGGCTATGGACTGGTAATACCGTACGGCCCAACTAATCCCACAGCGAGCTGGGAGCGGCCTGCCCCAAGCATCACCAGCCACGGTAGTAGCCAGGATTCGATCCCTGGACGTGGCTCTTCCCCAACTGGGACTACAACCACGGGACCGACCCGAGGGGCACTAGGTGATTGTAATTGGTACCGGCACTAGGTCTAATGTAGCATCTTTAAGTACTGCTCGAGTTTTCAGCGTGTGAAGTAACAGTACCAAAGTAGCTGGACTACTCCATTTTCCTCTGCTAGAACAACACTTGTCATATTTGTCAAAACCAATTTTCATTACTTTTACCAATCACCATGGACTTATCTCAAAAGCTCCCCTTTGACTTTTGGTCAAACTTCAAAGTCCACATCCCATAATCAACAGTTACTACTACTGCTCACTTCTCATCAGTTCTCACGCACCGCCACACATGTTCGCAAATCGCCCCGCCCATAGCCATTAACCAGAGCCGCAATAGTAGTTCAAAGCCTACGCACTAAACCAATAACACGTTCCACAGTCCATACTCTCCAATCCTATAACTATAAGCATTTCATTTCCCACATTTTTATTCACTCTGCAGTTCACACACACACATATATATGGTCCTCCCCTGGCAAAAAGCCTGCAGCCTCCAATCAGTTTGATCAACCCATCAAGTTTTCTCAAGAACCACGCTCCTCCTCTTTATCAAAGCAATAGTGCTGTAAAACTTAGAACAGTGTATAGCCCCAGATTACACCATGGCTGCCGCTTCTTCAACCTCCGCTGCTTTCAGGGCCGCTTCTTCCTCCGTAAAGCTGCTAACCAGCTCCTCCCCCACCGCCCAAAATATTCTTAGCTTTAAGCCCTTCTCTAACCCCTTGATCTCTAACAACTTTCGCCTCACCGCCAACTCTGCAGCCACCTGCAGATCTTTCACGTGCAAGAGCCAGAGCACCCCATCAGACTCAACACCAAGTAAGTAGTATTTTTTAGCTTCTGAGCCGATCACCAATTAAACAAATCTGGTTGGTTTAATCCTCGACTGTTGTGCACTTGGTTTTCAGCTAAAGTTCAAGAACTGAATGTCTACGAGATCAACGAACGTGACCGCGGAAGCCCTGCCTTTCTGAAATTGAGCCAAAAAGACGTTAATTCTCTAGGCGATCTCATCCCTTTCACCAACAAAGTAAAGCAGCATTCTTTTGGTTATGGGATTAATTTTTTCCCTCTTTTTTCAGTTTTACTTTCTTGAAAAATATTCGTCTGATCAAGCGCATGCAAGCACTCAAATTGGAAATCAAGCGTCTTAACAATTTTTGGTACGTCACAGATATACAGCGGGAGCCTGCAGAAACGGTTAGGGATCACAGCAGGAATTTGCATTCTGATCAAGCACGAACCCGAGAAAAAGGGTGACCGGTACGAAGCAATTTTCAGCTTTTATTTCGGTGGCTATGGTCACATAGCCGTTCAGGGGCCTTACCTGACCTACGAGGACACCTACCTAGCCGTGACCGGTGGATCAGGGATTTTTGAAGGGGCGTACGGTCAAGTCAAACTGCAGCAGCTTGTGTTCCCTTTCAAGCTGTTCTACACTTTCTACTTGAAGGGTATACCGGATCTACCTAGTGAGCTACTGGGACCTCCGGTTACTCCGTCGCCCGCGGTGGAGCCATCAGCTGCTGCAAAGGGTTGTGAGGCCGGGGCCACCGTTTCCAATTTCACAAACTAATTGATGACGACGATGGACCCATGCTGTTATGATTAATTATTGCTGAGTCTTCTTTTTGTTCCTTTGGTCCTCCTTTTTCGACATGTAACGTAGTAAACTATAGAGCCCCGCCACGCCATTAAACAAAAGGCTATTATGATTTGTTGTACTGGTCTTCTCGTGGTGGTCTATGCAAATAAAAGTGCCTTTCGGAAATTGGTGCAATTGTGATTCGTGACGTGTTTTTCTTTGATTTGAACCAATTTTATTTTTATTGTATTGGAACTTTAAATTGACTAGCACTAGCACTAGCACTAGCAGGACGATATTCAGCATTGGAGTACTATTATCGTCTTCTTCCTCCTCCCACCAACCACCGCCACCTCTCCCAAAGAAAAGGGCAAAAAAAAAAAAACATTTGAGTACCAAAATGGTTGTTGTAATCATCATATTATGTAGGAAAAGTTTTGGTTAGTATAACCAAATCATAAAATTGTGGTGTTACGGGCAATAATTTACATCAGAAGTTAGAAAGACCCACCAAAAGCCGTTCATCTGCGTATAAGATATATTGCTCGTAATTTTCTGTGTTCGTGATCTATACAACAGTTTTTTTTTTTATCCTTTTTTCTTTAGAAGTGAAAGATTTAAACTCAGCATTTCTTATTTACAATTATATCTTCTTTTTTTTTACCATTCAACCCAACTTTACTCCTACACAACAGTGTTGAAATTAGCGTAGATTTCACATGACAGGAAAATAAGCCCAAGGAGTCAAGAATGAGATGCCAAGAGTGCTAAAAACAATTAATAGAAGCGAACTGTTACCATTAATGATGGTATAATATTTTATTACTACCTCATAAGGATTACTCTGTCATGCACCCTTATATTAAAAAAAGGTAACACTACTTTTTTTTTATTTTGTGTGCAAAAATTTATGAAAATTTTGGGGTAAGAACGATACATAATTTCATGTTTAGTCCAATCTTTCATTTTTATGTACTTAGTCCTGTGTCTTACTAAAACAGGATAGGAGAATCCGTCGAACAACATCTAACAAATGGGTAGCATTTATTAGTTTGGACGGGTTTAAGACGCGCGCGTGTGTTTTATTTCTTTGCTAAGGTTCAAGGGAATTGGCGTGATTCACCGCAAAGCTGATCCATTAACGTTAATAATGTCGCCAAGTATTGCCATTTTTTCGTTTCAAAATGGATAATTTCAAAAACATCCCCTGACGTTTCTAACAATTCCACTGTCCTCCGTTGAAGTTTTCAAAATATCGAAAACCTCCCCTAAAATTAATTAACAGATGACAAATCAGTCCAATTCAAATACAAAAACAATATAAAATTGGTATTAGGAGAGCGAAAACAATTTGATTCCACAACTACCCTCAAGTGTGATTGTAAGTGAAATTACTTGCACAAGTAATGCTCCGATTTCAAAATTGCGTAACTATTACCTCATTCATATAGTATAACCAAATGACTATATATTTCTAACTTTTACAACTACTTTATCAACTCAAAGTCTTATCTGCATATTGCACGTGTAATATTATACTATTATAACACATCAGTAACATGCTCTACTACAAGAGACTAAAATTATATAAAACCCTGCTACAACCAACATCTCAGTTAAAAAAGGATCATTTGTTGAATAATCTCAATCAAGAAATAAATTGTCATCATTAAAAGGTATTTTTATTTAGTAGCATACAACCAACAATTTTTTACCTATATTTCATTCAACACCAACACCTATTTTCCATGATAATAAAAGTAACAATCAAGATGAAAAAAGGAAAAACACTATAATTGAATACCGATCATTAAATGAAGCAAATCATATAGAACATAAACCAACTACATAATGTCATGTTTTTCATTTTTTTTTTGTTTGATCCAAGATATTATTTTCACTTATAGGGTCACTACTAAGCAATGATTATTAAGAACTACCCTAACATTTGCAATCAAATAATAAAATTTTTCAAAATTTAAGAGTAAAAAAATCTTAGAGGCTAATTTTGAGATGTTCACAACCAGTAAAATTTTGAGACCAAATTTTCTCTTCAAGTCTCATAAATCCTTAGATATGCTGAAAAAAGCTCCATTTCTCTTATTTCACAAAAATCACTAAAGTTTGAATCATTGCTTCTAGTCATACACATCAATTATCAATCACAAAAAGGTGAATATTTGGCCCCTTTTTGTAATGGCATATTAGAAACTTTTACAAAAAACTTATAAATTTTCATTATTTATGTTAAACTAGATTAATAACAATTTAACTAATCATGTAAACATAATAGCAAAATATCTCTTCAATTGTGTAAGTGATTAAATCATTTCTCCATGATTGATGCAATAATTGGACCCCAATCACCTGACAAAGGGAGGCTTATGATATTTTAGAAATATCAAGAGAAGACAGTACTGAGTTTATTTGGTTTGCAAAATTTATTCTCACAAATCCCAACCACCTTTTTATCTTCCCAATCACCTTTTTATCTCACATACATCCCATTACAAAAAGTGCTACAGTAAATATCTCAAATAAATCATCCAAATAAACTCTTATCCAAACAAACTCAGTGAGACTGTTAAAAACCTTTAGAGAGGTTTTTGAAATTATCCCTTTTTTTTAAAAAATTACTATTTAAATTCAGTAAAAAAAAAGGCCGAAAAAAAAAGATATAGGATCAAAAGTCAACATAGACAAATTTCACTCTCTGACAATTGGCAGTGTCCCCGCTCTAACACAGCCCCTCCTCATGTTGCCAAACCGGTCAACGACGGTACGAAAATTTATTTTCTCTTCCCGCCGGCCGAACATCTCGGGCTGAGACATCACCTGAGATGTAGTAAACAAGGCATTATTTCCCGGCCAAAACCGCCACCTTCCTTCTACATTTAATCAAATTCCAGCTCCGATTCCCATTCCCGCGTTTCCCATAATGGTAACCGTCCAAGCTTGTCAGCTTAGCCTCCCAAACCCATCTTTCTCCTTCCTTGCCCAGTATTCTCCACCTCCCCACATCACCTCTTTCCTCTTCGATTCCAATTCCAACTCCCTCGCCCTTCACCATTCCGACACCTCTTTGTCTCTTTACCCTTCTCTCTCCCCTCTCTCCCTCTCTTCCTTCCCTTCTCCCTCCACTCTCGTCCCTTCTCCCACCTCCTCCGCTGCCTTCCTCCACCTCCTCTCTAACCCTAACCCTCGTTCTATTTTCATCACCTCCTCGCCTTTCCTCGGCGGCACAGCTGTTCTCTTCCGCTTCTTTATTTTTCATCCTACCCGGAAGGCGTTTGTGAAGCTCAAGGTTCGATCTAACCATACGGATTTGAGGTTCGATGATAACAAGTATGGCGTTGTTTTCGCGGTTTCTCATGGCGTTTCGGTGAAATTGGCGGGTGGGAGTAATTTTTTCACCATGTATTCTGTTTCGAATTCGAAGATTTGGGTTTTTGCTGTCAAATTGGAGGCGGATTTTGAAGAGGTGAAGTTGATGAAGTGTGCTGTGATTGATTGTGTCTTGCCGGTTTTTTCCATGAGTGTCTCGTCTGGGCATTTGATTTTGGGAGAAGAGAATGGGGTTAGGTTTTTCCCCTTGCGGCCACTGGTGAAAGGGAGGGTTAACAGAGAGGGGAGAGTGAGTAGTAGTATTATTAGGAGGAATTTAAATGGAGGAATGGACAACAAGGATGCTGGTAAGTTGGAAGTTAGCAAAGCTAATAAGCTGCAAAATGGGTTGGTTCAGGGAATAAATGGAATTGATCATGCGGTTCATTCTAGCAACTCTGGCCGCAAAAATATGGGGCCTGAAGGGGCAGTTAGTGTGGTTTCGAATGGCCAGTTTGAAGGAAAGATGGATAAGCAGTCTGAATCTGGTGAGTTCGTTGGTTTTGGTTTGGCGCTATTTAACTTTGTACCTGAATTTGAAAACTTTGTAGAGGTCGGATCTTTATTGTCGTCGGAGTGAATTTATATTGTGGGATTAGTTTTTTGCTTGCATTTACCTCACCATTCAATTGTCAGTCATGTAGTTTATTTGGTGCTTAGCTTGTTTGGAATCATGCACGTGCTTGCAGTTACTGGACAAGGCTCTTCTTGTTTTAAGCATGAATGTTTTGACCCAAAGTACTGGCTTTTGGTTCTTAGTTGTATTGGTTTTTTTGCCCATCTTTAGATATATAATAATTTGATCACAAGTATGGCAACGAATGATGCCAAATGAACTGCAATTGGTGCTGGAAACCATGAATGTTGAACGTTAGCTTAGACATTTGCATTCGCCAGCAAAATAGTGGAGTGGATCAAGGGGCTCCAAGTTTATCTTTCAGAAGAGGAGAGAGATAAGGAATGTCTTAACTTGCATTTGGCAACTTTTCCTGTTCTTTTCAGCATTTTCCAAGTGCAGGTTTTATTAGAACTGCATTGCAGATAATGTTTCATGTTCTTAAATAGAATCTGAACCATCAGCCAATACTTTTGGTAGTATGACCTAACACAATTAAATATGGCATTTTGAAAATGGAAAAAGACTCTCTTGGAGTGGTAAAGAATGGGGCATTTGCAGCATTCACAGATGTTACAGCTTAGGCATTTCATTGGGTGGAATTACTTCTCTTGTTTTATTAATGTCGTTGGACGTAGCTTAAAATTCTTCTCTTGTTAACTAGAAGCCGCATGATTCTGAGATTTCTAAAAGTCTTCATCTCTCCATTGTTACAGCTGCTTATTGTGCGTTCTAACTTGCAGTGAAGCCGAGGACCATGACATTGAGACAAGATACTCGAGATTGGGGTGTGTGTTTCATAGCATTTAATGGCAAGCAAATTGAAAGTTTTCGATATGTCAAGATGCCAGTGAAGTCTCCAAAGGCAATATCAATCCATGTATTATCACTTACCAAGTTTCTAATCTTGGATTCTGATGGAGATCTACATCTCATGTGCTTGTCCAATTCTGTGCATGGATCAGAATGTCCTTTTCATACAAGACAGTTAACTCAGACCGCTAGAGTGCATAAACTGGCAGTTCTCCCTGGTAAGTCCAATAATTTGCAGCTATCTTTATGTTTAACAATACCCGGATGTAATTTCTCGAGAACATGCAAAAACATCCCTGATGGTCCTCTAGATTCTCATGAGTTGCTACTTTTTTTTGTTGGGGGGGGGGGCTGAGGGCAGTGGTGAAAGGTAGCCATCGTTTGTTTCCCCAATAGTGCATCATTTTGACCATTACTTCATGATGAATTTGCTTTTACCATCTATACAAAGCTAAATGAATTTCCATCAATTGCAGGATCACAGATTATTTGGATTTCAGATGGACAATATACTGTGCAGATGATTGTTCTGACTGATGAAGAGACTTCAATGAGTGGAACACTCGGAAATGAGAGTGAGGAATTGCTGTCTTAAACACTTGGTTTTCAATTTGCACTAATCTGCTTGTGAAATTCTATTACTTAAACATCTTAGACTCTAAAAACTTCATAATTTTGCTTTGAAATGGGTATGTGCATCTGTGAGTATGGTCTGTCTGGTCTGTATTCTATTTCACTGAGCTTCCGCTCTTCATGGAGTTGATTTTACATTTCTTAAATGGTTAAGGTATGCATAAACCATCCACCAAAGCAATGTGATTCTGCTTCTTGGTTAAGGATTGCTATGTCTCTAAAGTTTTTTTTTTCAAGTTTATTATGTACTTTTGTTACGGTATTTCATAGTAGAGTGTCATCATTATTGGTATCTGGCCCAAAACAATCTGGATGCTTATTGTCGTCATTGTCTGGAGCCTACTGATAAAAGATTCTAGCTTAGCACTTTCTCAGATGCTAATTAGATTTTGGTTCCAGAGGCGACCCAGCCCTCCTTATCCACCCACCCCACCCCACCCGCCAAAAAAATAATAATAATAAAAATGTTGCATTTGTTTAAGACATTAAAAATCGGCCTTCTGTTGCATTGAAAAAAAATAGTATTGAATAATCTGTTTTCAGGGTGTTACTGATAATTATTGGTTTGATACTTTCGGTGGTCAGGTACGCAAGCAATATTTGTCAGTGAAAAGATCCAAGAAATTATACCTTTGTCTGCCAATGCCATTTTGGTTCTTGGGCAAGGTATGCTGTCTTTGAAGTTCTGATATGATGTTTTCTCCCTATTACAATTGAGACTTACTGAAGATTGTTGTCGTGTACTCATTTGAATTTCCTTCGCGTGTTCTCTACAGTTGCATGGTCTGGTGACTTTTTTGAGGAAACTAAAAGGTTTTTGTTTGTGCTATGACAATTTTTGGTGAAAATTAGATCTTAGGACTGCCTTTTCGTGTACTAACAAAGTTTCAGCAAGTTTCTTTCTTGCTTTGTTGAGAAGTTTGCAACTTCTTTTTGGCTTATCATGGTAAATGTTGCATGCATATTTATTGGAGTAAGTTGTGGTTTTGGTTGTTCTTTACCATTACAGCCATACTTGCACATCTCCCTTTGCTTTGTTTTTTATCACAAGTTTATACCTTTGACCTATGCAGGAAGCATGTTTGCTTATGCAATTTCATGATTGTCTCAGGTGGTTTTGTCTCCAAGTGAGTGCTGTTCTTTTTTGCCTGAGCAACTTTAGTTTACTTTTGAGAGATCTAAGTTTAGTGCCTGACTTTCAAATATATTTTATAGGCCATTAGTTATCCAGAAATGGATGGTTAATTGGTGCCTGTTGAGTTTCGTGGGTGTTGAGTAAGTAGTTTAAACAGTTTGTTATTCTGATCTGTTATTTTTATTCTTACAGATTAACTTTGAAGTTTGAGTGAAAATGTTAAAGTTGGCATTTTAGGTTTAAGCCTAACAGAATTACATTTGTAACTGTGTCTGTAGTTTCAAGCTTCAGTCATCCCAATACGTAATGGAATACATCACAACCAGGACAATGATCTCGAGTAAGTATGATTTTGAATTTTGATTAATTCTTGGTGCATCTAAAATTATAAACTGCCCTCTACATGAGATTCCTGTGAGTTCTCATATTTTTGGGGGAAGTAGAGAGTTTTCGATGAATTCGATTGATATTGGCAGGGAAGAATTGACCAGGTTTATTGGCTACCATTGATATTTGGTCTTGTTGCCTAGTTGAATATTGGTTCCTGGTATAACAGGAAAAAGTTGGCTATATCTAGGATAAACCCTGCTTTGAATTGTAAGATTTTGAATGATGCAATTATCAGCATCGCTTCAAGAATTCTGATGTGATAATGCTAGCTTTGTAAAACTTCACCACTGCAGACATGGTATATTTCAATTTACTTGCCCCTTAGCTTGAAAATGTTATAGTTTGGATGGTGCAGGAATGGTAAAATTGACAACTAGGTCTGTGGTTGGTTCACTTAAGGTATTGTGATAGGCTTGGTATTAGCATCATCTATTGGTGGAAAAGCGTTGGCTTGATTTCTTTTACTGATGCACTTTCTTAATTTGGTCTAATGGAAAAGCTCATCCTTTGTTGTACAGTCAATTTCATCCATTTCATGCAAAGCTTCTGTGTATCATTAAGGATGTAGTAGTGTGGCTGTCAGCAGAGTTCTGAAGCTTGAGATGTTCAAGTCTCTCATCAAGACATCAAGCGAATGCTACGGGCCTGCTGCTTGAGGAGCCTTGGCTGTTGATTTGCTGTTTTACAAGCTCTACCGGTTGGGTGCTCTCATTTTTTCTTTCTATTGGTGGAGAAAATCAGCATTTTATCTGACACTCTTTAAGGTAAGGGGTAGCTCCGCATTGTATTGGCAGATGATGTTAGATTTGGACCGCTTGTTCAGCGCCTTATGCCATCTCTGGCTGCTATGGAGAGATTGCAATTAATATTTCCCAAGTGTAAGTGCTCGGATCGGGCAGAAATATGTTTCTGCTGTGCATATAGAATGTTATACTTGAAACTGTTCACTTGTCATAACACTTGTTTGTAGCAGGGTTGTTTCCTCCACTGGGTACATATCTGAAGGGCGTTACACTTCAACAGATATATAGTTGTAACGAATTATTTATTTATTTATTTATAGGTTACCTATCTTGAATTTTATTACTTAAATTATTGGGTCGATCAGATGACCGACTCAATTGCTTTCCTGGTTGGTGCCGTCGCATGGGAAAACATCTCGTGAGATTTTAACTTCCTATTGCTATTCCTGTGCCCATCCGGGGGCATTGAAAGTTCTTTAGTACTACAGACTATGTTGTCTGGTAATGTAAGGCCTAGACATTCTTCCCCAGGAAATGCGCTATTGAAGGAAAGTAAGACTTCATGACATCTCTTTTATGGCCCACGAAAGGTGATACTCAGGAAGAATCCTAATCCGATAAGGCAACAGGCTACGGTATCAATCTATGGTCCTTATATGCGTTGGTCCTAGCTGCTAGAAAATCATCAAACCAACGGAGCCAAGCCCAACGTGTTATGTGGTATAGGGGTGATTTCAATTCCGTGACTTGGGGAAAAAAATGGTGGGATTTTGGCCGGTACTGATCAGTTCCTCCAACTCAAAAAAGAACTTGGAAGTTAAAGTTGCTGGTCATTTTTGGATCCAGTGGCAATTCGGAGCAAATCATTCATCTCTTTTTCCTTCCTCATGGGCGTGTGACAGGATGCTCTGGCAGGCATGCGTGTTACCGTGTTCGTTAGGGCAAGTGTTTGTGTGGTAGGGTGGGACTAGTTTTTGCAGTTGTTTGCGGAGGTCGCATTCACGTTGGCAGTCTTGAAACGAAACTTGCTGCGTCGAATATTTTGCACATTTGGAATTTGAATTTTAAAATTTTACAATTCATTTCAGCGGTTGCAGTCAGCCAGTTAACGCCGGCATCGACAGGGTTGAATGTCGCATTGTTGCTTGATACGAATTGCCAATTTAAATTATCAATTTATTCGAGCGGAGCGGATGATTTTGTTGAGGACAAGAATCTTAGGGGTAACATGTATAGAGAGTAATGGAACTCGTTCTAAGGAAGGATTGAATGAATGAGGCAGGAGGCCGGAGGAGACAGGAAACAAGTGACCTTATCCGCTGCTGGTGTGAAACATACTTTTGCATAAACACGAGACAAAACTGAGGGCGATGAGTTAAAAAGTACTGCCCGCTGCTACGCTAAGGGTTGGGGGGCGGGGGGGGGGGGTGGGGTGGGGACCCGGCTACTCATTTCATTTCTCATGATGCTGAAGATGACAACTCCCAATCCACATGCCAATGCACATGCACACCAAAATAATCATCCTCCATCCCCTCAATTCCACTCCAAAAATCTCAAGCCCACTGCTGAAAATTACCTTTCACTGATTCTACACCATATCATCCACTTATTTCCTTCACTTCTTCAAACCTGGTGTGGGTTTTTTCGGTAAAATGCTGTACAATATCTCTAGGCCCCTTCGTAAAAGTTGCATTTTCCACAGAAACGGAAGTACCTGCGCTGAATAATTGAACTGCTTGTCCGTCCAGGCAACTTGTGCTCTTTATCACTTCCGTCATCCAAATTGACTGGATCAGTAAAAATTCTGAATCACCGTCCAAGGATTTCTCCGTTACGTCCTTGTACTATGCTTCTTTTAAACCTACCTTAAGTTAATTTTATGGATTAATCTTCTATACACTTACAGTGTATACACTTTCATCATTAAATGCATGACACATAATACGAATTTGAATTTGAAACTCAAATTTTATACATGTGTCGTCGTATATCCAACCGTGATAGTGTATACACCGTCAGTATATATAAAATTTATTCTAATTTTATATGCACTAACGGCACATGGGATCCTCATTGCCATTTGTTTCAGTGTCATTTCTATATTTGTGCAAAGAGTTTTATTCATTTAAGTTACCATGTACTGTTATTTAAATTTCTTCTACCCTCACGTAATAAATGAAACTAGGGTTGCAAACAAATCGAACCACTCGCAAGCCGATTGCGAGCGGCTCGAATCCGAGCACGACTTGAGCTCGGTCAACATCGAGTTCGAGTTCGAACTCGAGGTGAACAAGTCGAACTCAAGCTCGAATTTAAAAATACTAAACTCGTTAGCTCGCGATTCGATTCGAACTCGATTATATATATATATATATATATTTTAATAGTAAAATTATATTTATATACATAATATTTTATTATTTATTAAGAAAAATTATTATTTTATTTATTTTTTAAAAATAGAATATTTTTTAAAAAATTTTTTAAACTCGAGCTCGAACTTGACATTTTGAGCCAGTCAAGTTCGAGTTCGAGTTTTGTAAAATTATATTGAGATTCGACTCGATTAGATCGAAATTCGACTCGATTCGATCATTTGTACCCCTAAGTGAGACTGCCACTTGATTTGGCATCAGATAGTGGCACGAAGAATCCCAAGTGCACTAACGGTGTATATATTACTTATTTGTGGACTCTACTCTAATATACGCACTATCAGCGGGGCAAAAATAACCTTTAATAAGTTGCTCTCGACTAAGGCACCGTTTGGATTGAAGGAAAGGGAAAGAAAGGATTCTAGCGGAAAATAAAAGATACGAGAGCATAAGAAGTCTGAGTTCATTCAAATGCCCTTTCCCTTCATTTTCGTCCACTTTTGGATGGAAAGCAGGCCGACAAAAAATGACGAAACTTTATCCCTTCCTTTCCCTCAAAAATCATTCAAAATATCAAAAATCCTATCCCTCTATTTCCTTTTCTTTTCCTCCCATTCACTCAAAACAAACAGTGCCTGCACTTGATGATTACTCTTTTTTTTTTTTTTTTTTTCCCCGTGATGATTGAACCAAAGCGTCTTACGGCTTTAGGAACTTACCTGTCAAGCGCAGTTCCCCTCGGGCCTTTTCTGTATATTTTTGTTTTGTGATAGACATGGGACCATAAAATGAGCGACTCCATCTTTTTGTATTTCCTCCCTCTCGAAATTGTCCCTGCATTATACTCTTGGGCTGCATGTATGTCAAGTGGATTTAAATTGAATGTCACCCATCTCATTTGGTAAGTTGAAGATAGGAACAACGCCCAGGGACAAATGATCTTTCCGTTATTTGATGTCCCAAAACAAAAAACAAAAACAAAATGACAAACGGAAAATGGGAGCCAAACTGACCTGTGTGTACCACTGCAAATGCAAATGGCCAAAAGAATGAACAACAACAACGTCTAACTCTAGTTCAATTGATTTGCAAAACCATTTAAACGTATACATAAGACATTCCATTCTTTTGGTGTTTCCTTAATTCTTTGGTTTGCGGTTGACAATTTCCAATTTCCAATTTCCAAAGCAATCGCCTTCACTGAAGGGTCATTTCACCATGCAACGTATCAATACGTGAGAGCTATGATGGACTAAAGAACATGGAAAATGAGATAACATAGATTTAACTTAATCGGGACATGGGATCGGTCATCATCAATTTCCTGGCTATCAAAGCTGTTAGCCTGCAGCCGATTAACTCACATCTCAAATTAGATCTGCATCAACTTCAATTTCCACCCTGTCTCTCTACAGAACATTAATTAATTGCACTGCTGCATCAGCCTTTCAGGACACAGCTAGCCAGGAGGATAGTCTATTTCATCTTCCAGTTTAGCAAATGAAACCACAATACGCTGTGGGAATGTGACCACACCCTCTGTACAGTCGCTATAACTTCATTGGCCAACTATGAGATCTTTATTGTATTTTTCCTCTATAAATACTTGTGTATTTGTTATCCCAAAGAAGGGCCACTAAATTTGAATTGGAGGGCTACAACAAACTTCTTCCATATGTGCATATGCTCCAACATTTTGATATAAAAGCCATATTCTGAATAAAATCTTGCATGCCAAGGTCCATCCTGGTGTCCATGTGTCAATTTGGTATTAGCTTATCCGGCTTGTACCGCATAAGAAGTAAGAACCCTGAACCCCCCCCCCCACCACCACCACCACAAAAAAAAAAAACCGGAAGTTTATTAGTCTCTGGTTGAAGAATTTGAATATCTTTTTTGGCAGGACTCGAATGGTTTTGAATGGATACTGTCAAGCATCTTTCTGTCATATTTGAAATTCAAGTACTATAAAAGTGTGCAGTAAGTTGCTACAAGGTAAAGGCGTATTAATCTTGAGAATCAGCATTTCCATAGTGACATGGCATCTGCGATGGAGCCATCTCTTACTACTCCTATAGGATCAAGACGAAGAGATGAGTCTGAGTTCAACTTAAATGAATGGGCTCTGAAGGCTCGAATCAGCCGCGAAAATACAAGTTCAAGAAGATTCTCAGCATCAAATATTCGAAGTTTTAGAGAAGATGCAAGGTCCTTCAGATCAAACATAACCATTTCTAGTACAGCTTCTTCTCCCGGCTATACCCTTAGAGGTAACTTGATTAACCCCTCTTCTTCCTCCAATCAAATAATTGGACGTCTTATTAACGTCTTCTTTTGCTCAGAGGAAATCGACCCTTCGACATATTCATTCACCAATGCACTTAAGGGTAAGATTTTGTTCATTTTCAAGCAAAATTAAGTCCAGCATGTTTCTCAAGAAAGCTCTCTTTTTTTTTTTGTAAAAAAAAAAAAAATCAACGTTGTGGTGAAGAATCTATGTCGTTCATGCAGCATTGCAAGCGAAAACAGTGTATAGTTGGGAGCACTTGTCGCCTGATGGGTTGGCTCTTAACTCCAAGTGGAATGAAGCAGAGAAGTATATATGCAACCCCTTATCTGGAGAAGTTCCATTGGAGTGTTTGTCGGCAAAGACACTCAGTGCAAGATCATTTCGCAACTTAGCCAGCAGAATTACAATGTCTGCACCGCTTATTTATCCGACTCATTCGCGACAATATGAGACTAAGCCAGCTATCACCATACATGAAGATGAAGTTCAAATTCAATTCCAAGGTAGTAAATTCATGTTCCTCTTGCCGACCCGTAGCATTAGAATTGCCAGTCTTTTAATTTGACCCGTGAGTATGACATTATTGTTTCAAAACTAGCTATCACCATCCAATATTATGGTCTAAAGTTCGCTCGTGTTAATAATATCTAACTGCAGAGAAGAAAATGCGAAGCATGAGTACTA